GCATAGTTGTTGAACCAAATTCCATTAGTTATGCTTTTACACCAGGATAGTGGTTTACAGTTTACAAAAGGCTTGTACATCATCTCATATTAAAGGTTACTAGAACAGTCCTTTGCAGTAGAAAAGTAGGTATTTTACAACTCATATTTTACAAATGAGTTGACCAAGTATCTGAGATAGTAAATAACTCATAGAAGGTCATCCGGGAAACGGGGCAGCAGAACTGGGATCGAATGACTCAGGTCACCCAACTCCAAATGCAAAAGTCTTTCTGCTGCTGCTTCCTAGTCAAACTCTAAGGGTCTAAGACTCTATTCCTAGTTATGGTCTCAACTACATTTGCTCATTGCTGTGAGGGGTCAGCCCACCTCCCGGAGTCCTCTCCTGCACATTCCCATGTTCCTGAAAGGACTTTCCATCCCTTTCACTACTCCCTGAAAACTCCTGTGCTTCATGATTTCTTGTTGAATTTTTTCTAATCTGACTCTATCAGTTATGGGAATGTTCCCTCAACCCTTAGTGCTCCAGACTGGACTGACTCTTGGCATGTATTTGTCCAAAATATTTGTCTGCTCTATGTCTTCTACATATTTGTCTTATAAGGAGCAAACACCTGATTTGTTTATCCATGAACAAAGCCACACATGCTAGTGCACACGCACACACACACACACACATACACACAGAGGATTTTGTACGTGATTAATGAATCATCAAATCATCATAATTTCTGGACTTGTATTAATACATCGGCCAGGAGGAAAAGAATCCATTGTCAATCATGGCTTCTGGTTCTCACGGTCATCTCTACTTTCTTCCAGCAAGTTTGATTCTGTCAAAAACCAGCTGGCGCCTTGTTCCCGCATGCCCAATGCGGGAGAGTCAGAAAAGAAGATTTCGTTCTCTGTATTTCAGCATCGTCAATGCCAGGTTGAAATATGCTATTCTGGCCCAGCTCAGTGGCTCACACGTGTCATCCCAGTACTTTGGAAGGCCAAGGCAGGCAGATCGCTTGAGCCCAGGAATTCGAGACCAGCCTGGGCAAGAGGCTGAGGTGAGAGGATGGCCTGAGCCCGGGAGGTCAAGGCTGCAGC